CACTCCCCCTCATTCACAATGATATGATTTTTTGTTCTTTGATGCCTGATACCTGATCCCTTCAACACCTCATGATCACACAGGCTGGTGTGCTTCTTCCATGTGGGCTTTGTTGTTTCTTGGGTCTTTAGAACTGTGAGGAATACCCTGCTTGTTTTGAAAGCCCACCCAAGGGAAGTCCCACCTCCAGTCTCCTTGATCTCTCCGGGTTTCCATGTCCCCCGGAATGACCAGGGCTATCAGGGATTATCTTCCTAGCCTGGTTCTCTGCTCACCTTCATTTGCCTTAGCGACGTTGCTGGACTTGATGGTTACGTTTCAGCAGTTTTTCTGCCAAGCTCAAACCCACTGAAATAGACAGACATCTTGCTATCTTGTTACATATATCTCCTCTATTCACAGAAAACCAAACTCACGGTCATCGAGTTGATTCCAATTCACAGTGGCCCTATAAACCAAACAAGCAAAGCTCACTGCCATTGAGTCGGTGCCAAGTGATAGCAACCCTTTAGGACAGGGAATTTGGGACTAATGCTTAGTGGGACTTGAAAGCCCTGTCTTCCCCAGAAGGTGGTGGTAGTTTCAGACTGCTGACCTTGCAGTTAGCAGCCCAACGGCTACACTGCCAGGGCTCCTCCAGTGACCCTATACTTCCTGCCGCAGACTTCATTCTGGCTCGTAGCAACCCTGTAGGACAAAGCGATACCGTCCCTGTGAGTTTCTGAGACGTCTACACGAGTAGAAAGCCTTGTCTTTCTCCCAGTGACCCTGTAGCGACAGTCAAGGGTAGCTGAAATAGTTTCATAAACCCTGCTTGAGTCCCCTAGTGCCATAGTGTTGGGTCAGAGAGAGAAAGACGCAGCGACCTATCTGCCCCTGTCAAGATTACAGCCCTGGAAGCCCTAGAGGGCAGTTCTGTTCTGCACTTCAGGGTTAGAGCTGACAACAGTAGGCTTTGGGGTTTTTTTTTGGGGGGGGGAATAGTTATTAATGGCCATTGTGACAAGAGTTGGCATATAAATCCAAAAGGGCCGTCACCCAACTTTAGCAATCCGATGCAAGAACAATTCCAGCATAGTCCTGAAATGGGGCAGAAAACCCTCGGAATGGATTCTTTGTTGATGTTTCCTTTATGGAAGATAGCAAAATGTAGGGCTTGCTTCTTAGAGTTGACAAAACTTTTGCCCAGAATTCTGCCCTGCCCTGTGGGGAACATTCCAGCCCTTTCCCATGCCTTCTCTTCCCAAGCTCCTTATCTGTGACCACCCTCCCCTTGGCTGCCCTCCCCACTGTCTTCAAATAGAGAACCCTTTGATCTCTGAGGAGCAGGGGACAGAGGAAAGACCAAAGAGCTCATGTTCTTACATAGGCGGCCTTGCAGAGGTCATTGTTTTACACTTTACCAGGTGATTCTAGTGTTACTACCCTCTGCGGTAGCTCTATGTCCTGTAGACTTCTATGGGTTGGAATGGACTCCATGATCGTGAGGTTGGGAGCTAGTGTTACTAAAGGGCTTTGGGTGGCACAAGCAATTCATTTGACGACCAAGTTAAAGGCTAGCAGTTAAAACAAAACAAAGGCTAGCAGTTGAAACCCACCCAAGAGAGCCACAAAAGAAAGGTCAAGTGATCTTTCATTAAAAACTACAGCCAAGGAAGTCCACTCTGTAATGTAAGGGTCACCAGGAGCAGCCATCACCTCGATGGCAGCCAGTTTTCTAAAACATCTGGCTGGCCTTAAGGTTTGCCTTGGGGTGTCTTCATTCAGCAAACATGACCTAGTCTGTTGTGTGTGTTGTGGATACCAGAAAGCGCTCCGGTACGTGTGTGCCTTCTGGGTTGATAAGCATTACAGAGTGGTAGCTAAGCTGCAGGGGGTGAAGAGGGAGGGGCCGGAGGAACGTGTCCTGCAGGTCTTCTAGAAGAATGTACCCCAGGTGAGAGTTGAAGATTAAATAGGAGCTAGGGGAGAAAAACAATGTAAAAAAAACCAAAAAACCAGAACAGAACAAAACAAAAATACCACACAAAGATGAGGAAC